TCACAACTCTGCATTGTCAATTCAAAAAGGATGGGAAGACCCTGTAAATGAGGACACTCACATCTTTGGCTTGCCAGCCCAGAGTGCACAGTTTTTGTTTCAAATAGCAGGCTTGGTTCTCCAGTCTGACTTCACTTTTCTGTGCTAGTGGAAATTCTTCCTATAAGTGAAAATTTGCTAATATTAATAGCTGTCTCTTTCTGTTACTTGATACAAACCAGAAAACTTGCTTTCACATACCAGACCAGATCTATGACAATCTGCCACTCCTCCTAATCTAAGCAGTCTCTTTCATTTAGATGGTATTGCTCACCAGCATAAGATTTTCTGGGCTAATCTCTGATTTTAAAATGATCACAAGTGGCAAAAGTGTCATCCCTTGACCTTAGCAAATAACCTTGTACACTGAGAAATTTAGGGGGAGGTGGTGGGGCGGGGTTCTCAGTGGAATGGGTTCAGTGGTAAAAAGATCCTGGATTAATGGGCAGCACAGGTGACCACATAAATTGGTGTCCATGGCAGTGAGGGACCATAGAGGTTTCCTGCCCACTGATATGTATAAGGATCAGGAAAGGTTAACTGCAGCAGAGTTAGAGATGTGCCTGGAATGTGTGCTAATTCTGCCCTCCCCAAATGCTCGACATATTTCAGCTGCCTGTCAGTGTGCATCCGATGATACCATTGCTTGGATTCCAGGCATGCCTCTAAACACCTTTTTTTAAAAAGCTGTGAGCAAATAATCAGCTTTATTCTGATATCCCAGCCGAGGATAAATATTGGTTTAATTTACAAAAGCTGCCAATGCACACTCACACAGACACTCACTTGGGCACACCCAGACACACTCCCAATGTGCTCTCTTCCACATAAAGCAAATTCCCCACCTTTTATGGAACAAGCCTAGCTGAGAAGCCAGCTGAACTTCTAAAACATGCATACTACTTTGATGGAGAGAAGCTCTTGGAAAGATCAGGTACCTTTCAAGATAATAAGAGTCACTTCCTAATATTCGCTTCCTCTCTAGACTCTTCCCACCAGTATGTCTTTAGGATCTAAGCTTGTGCGCTGGCTCCTTTCTTCATTTTTGTGATAGATCTGGGTTCCAGGCCTGGTAGGATTACCACAGCCCTGCCCCTCTCCTGATGCAGATAGAGCAGTTGCCTGTGCTATTTTCAAGGTGTTAATCTTAGGCTTAAGGCTAATAAGCCTCATCTTATCCACTCTGCACATTAACCTTAGGCAGTTATTAGGATAAGCACTCTGCCTTGTTGACTGTGAACATAACTCTCTCTCCCATTGTTCCTGAGAACAGTTACTGGCTGCTCTCCACTTTGGAAGTGGCTGCAATTCTCTGTGGGTCCCTCCCATGAAAACCAGTGGGAATTTTCCATCCGTTCCAGTGGGAAATCTCATGGATCACAACGTAAGAAGGTCCTTACCAACAGATGACCCCTAAAGCTATTGATACCTAATGAGCTCTATGACAGCAGATGCTTCATATTATATAGAACACATGCCGAAGTTAAGTGATAAATAAAATGAAAGCTATGTATTTCCCTCAGATCGTGAACATTCAATCTAGACCCTTTGCTGACAGGCTGTGGATTTAAAGACTGAAAAAGTTTTCAGACTACAGTTATTTAAGGCAGTAGCAGGACTGTATCTGCAGGGACATTTTACCTGTTGCTGCTGCTTTTTACTTCTTTGGTCCTTCCCTTTAGTCCAGTAATAACATCCATCACCCTGCAAGGTAAGAAAAATAGATTAATTACAGTCTAAGACAGGTACATAAAACATATGGCAAACTATGGCATAGTCAGCAAAGAATGAAATAGCACTGGCAAACTACAGTATCAAACAGATACAATATCAAAACTCTTTCTCCTGCATAGATCCTTTTCTCTGCTTTTTTTTCAGAGCTGGGTGTACATTCCTGTTTGTCCTGTACTTCATTAATACATTCAGAATAAAGGGCTCTGCAGCCATGGCTAGCATGGTTTTTGAAAGCAGTGATACACTGGCGATATCCACAAGCCTAGGCTCAAGGTCTGTAAATTCAGAGCTGTAACATGCCCATCCATGTGCCCATGTGAAAACAGACCATCCCCTGAAAAACAGGGGCAAGGAGAATGTGGCTGTGTGGGTCATGCGGTATACGATTCTTCCTGTGCTTCCTTTTCCCTTTGCTGTGAGCTGTACTCCAAAAGGTGCAACAAGGTCACAACAGATTTGCCTCTAGGGTGCTCTATCCAAAGTTTCCCATGAGCTGTGCACCTTGGCATTGAAGGTGCTAAAAGACTAGATGGATAGCTGAGGCATTATCTACCAAACAATAAACACAGCAGCCAGTTAGTATTGCTAAGAGGCCTGACTGATACAGTACAATTGTGAATGAAAACAAAAGCTAGAAACAATCTTCTCCCATGTTTGAGTACGCAAAGGGCAGAAACGCTGCCTCCCTAGCTCAAACAAAATTACGTGGCAGATAATAAGGTACTGAGGCTTGTTTACATGTTCTCTGTAGAACTATTTGCTCTAGTATTGAGTGCAAATATACTGGGGTTGTAACACTGTCCTCAAAATTAGTAGGCAGTAAGCACTAAAAGCTTATTGGTAAGCTTTTAGATGTATATGCAATACTTTCTAAAAAACATTACACCTCAAGTATGCTTATAATTGAAAGGAAATTCAGTCAGACTAAAGAAAGGGATTTTTTAAGCCATCGGTGAAGACTGAGGAGCTGGATTGAGTTCCTGCCTCCGTCATGGACAATTTCCATGACAGCAGTCAAACCATGCAGAGCAGATTGTGTTTCAGTGCCCCATTGATAGTATCAAGGCAGCAATGCATCCCTTGTTTTGTCCATTCGGAATAGTCCTCATGATCTGTGAGCAACTATGCAAGAGGAGAATAGGACTCTCTTCCCAGGGGTAATGCTCTTTATCCCTGGGTCAGTGGAAGAGCTTAGCCATGCATCTTTTATAACCATGCATAACCACTCACTTGTTTTATTCAGACCTCACATGTCTCAGAACACTGTTCCACTGATAAAACAAAGTCGTATGTAGAGGGTTGCTTTAAAGTAACTAATTCTGATTAAACTTGTAGCAACAGGATGAGAGTCTCCAAGGACCGTTATTACACTGCACACAGAGCAAAGGTTCAGATTCATCTATACTGCAATTACACAGAAAATCAGATTGCACTGACTATTTTAAATAGCTTTGAATTAAATAATAATCTTAGAATAATGAGACTCGTACATCTAGTGTGCCTCTCTGGAAGCTCTACCAGTTTGTTCCTTCGGGATCTGCTTCAATTTCTGGTCTTCAAACTTTCACTGGATAGTCGATGTCAGGTCAGCATCCCTAAAGAAATAATCCAAAGATATACAAAGCCTGGGATAATTAAGGCAGTTATTTTCTGTATTTTGAAGAGCTTGGCTGACATGGGGCAGGGACTTGTCACGAATTCCATGCCCTCTAACAGAAGAATACACAAGGAAAGGGTTAAAATGTGATAGTTGTCACTTGGAAACTAGATTAGGGCTTCCAACTGAACTGAGTTTTGAAGGTCTTGAAACAACAGCCTCTCTGGGTACTGCAGCCACAAGCACTTTTTGAAAGTCACAACCCACATGAGTGCTCTTGCCAAGCAGTGCTCTCAGAGAGTGCTTTGAGGTGTTTCACATCCCCCGTGCATCAGCCAAGAACATCACAACTACAACTAGTTTCACTTCCCATCAGTGAGCTCCACTTCAAAATACAACTGAACAAGCTATCCTGTATCTTGCAGACACACACAAGTATTCCTGGATGCAATTACCAACGTTCGACTCTCCAGAAACATTCTTTGGATCACCAAGAACCTGCAGCCTGCTGTTAATACAACTAATTTGAAAGAACAGTTTCACCATGGGATAAAATCCTTTTTTAATAACCAGCAGATGGTTTGACCAGGAGTCTGATTTGAAATAAAAACAAATTGCAGACCTGGGGCCAGTTTCCTCCAAAGGAATGCCTTGCCCTCTGGCAGCCTTTCAAGGCTCCAATAAGGAGTA